AACAGCGTGTGCATTTTTTAAAATCATGGGATTAAACCCCTGTGCCTGCCTGTTTGTAAGACTGGTGGCTGCTATGCCTTGCTTTCCCCTAGCCCAGGGGTAGGCAACCTGCGGCTCTCCAGCTGTTGCAGGACTACAAGTTCCATCATGTCTCTGCAAGTCATAGCTGTAACTGTCAGTTTTGCAATGTTGCAATGCCTGATGGGAAATGTAGTTCCACAACAGCTAGAGAGCCGCAGGTTGCCTACCCCTGCCCTAGCCACTGGTCTTGACACATCCCTCCTGTAGTTCTCATGTCAGTGAGCACTGATGCAGTTCCTGCTGGCTGTAGTGGGCGGACCAGTCTGAGAATCCCAATCTAAACAGCCCCCAAAGGCAGTGTGCCCCTCTTCTTATCCAATAGTAACAGCTGTCAGCAAGCCTAGAGCCTAAAGCATTTAACTCCATACATGCCTGACAACGCAGACAGGCTGGGGTAAAAGATTTCAGTGGGGATTCAGAAGGCACTGTGACAGCCCAGCAGGGAGACACATCAGTCATCACCTTTAACTGTGCTGGTACTAGGAGAGATAAGGGATTTTATGGCCACTCTGTATAAGCAGAGGAGAACAGAGAGGAAGCTGAGCTACTAGACAGACTTAACCCCATAGCTGCTGGGGAGGTCCTGTGGTTAACAGTTACCCCTCAGTTGCCAGACACCTTTGCATTGTACTACTAATAGCACCCACTGAATAACTTAACTGTCTGACAATTGAGGGGTTAACTCTTAATAATAAACCACAGGTTTTATTATTATTTTTATTATTATTATACAGTATTTATATAACGCTAAAACGTTTGCTCAGCGCTGTACATTATAGTGCGGAACAGTACATGAGACAATACAGTAACAATACAATACAATACATGAGGGGGTCAAGGCCTCTGCTCTTTTGAGCTTACAATCTAGGAGGGAGGGGATAGTGGTACAGGAGGAAGTGGCTGTGGGGGATGGAGTGGTAGGAGGAGATCGGCGCTGTTAGGTGAGGGTGGGGTAGGTTTCCCTGAAGAGATGGATTTTCAGGGTGTGCCTAAAGGTGAGGAGGGTAGGTGACAGTCTGATGGATTGGGGTAGTGAGTTCCAGAGGATGGGGAAAGTCCTGGAGAAGTCCTGCAGTCGGGCGCGGGAGGTGGAGAACAGGGAGCTAGAAAGTAGGAGGTCTTGTGAGGAGCGAAGATTACGGGTAGGGTGGTATTTGGGTATCAGGACGGTGAGGTAGTTTGGGGCAGCGTTATGAATGACTTTGTATGTCTGTGTTAGTAGTTTGAATTTAATGCGTTGGGCAATCGGGAGCCAGTGGAGGGAATGACAGAGGAGGGTGGCAGATGCGGAGTGGTTGGTAAGGTGGATGAGTCTGGCTGCTGAGTTCAGGATATACTGAAGCGGGGATAGTCTGTGATGAGGTAGGCCGGTGAGAAGGGAGTTGCAGTAGTCCAGACCTCAGATAATAAGGGAGTGAACGAGTAGTTTAGTAGTGTCTGGGGTTAGGAACGAACGTTTTTTGGAGATGTTGCGGAGGTGGAGCCTGCATGAATTTGCCAGCGATTGGACATTCCTGGAAGCAATAGGGTGATGGAACATGTGTGCAGAGAGAGTACTGCTATGGAGCCTGTGTGCAAAGAGAGTACAGTGATGGAACGTGTGTGCAGAGGGGATACAGGGATGGATCATGTGTGCAGAGGGGATACAGGGATGGATCATGTGTGCAGAGGGGATACAGGGATGGAACATGTGTGCCGAGAGAGTACTACAATAGACCGTGTGCAGAGAGAGTACAGCGATGGAACGTGTGTAGAGGGGATACACTTAGGGAACATGTGTGCAGAAGGGATACAATGAAGGAACATGTGTGCAGAGGGGATACAGGGATGGAGCATGTGTGCAGAGGGGGTAATTGGTAGAACATGTGTGCAGAGAGATACAGTGGTGGATCATGTGTGCTGATAGTGTAGTGGAGGGAGAATTTCTGTTTCTGTAACCCCCACTGGTGGGAGAATTCAAGTTTCTGTGACCCCACTAGAGGGGAACTTCCTCTTTTTGTGACCTCACTGGAGGGAGATTTCCTGTTTCTGTGAACTCCACTGGAAGGAGAATTCCCCACACTGACTGACCCTGTGATGCCACTGGAGGGAGACTTTCAATTTCTGTGACCGCACTGGAGAGAGACTTTTGCTCACTTCCTGTCCCTGTTACACCACTGGAGGGAGACTTCCTGTTTCTGTGGCCTGGGGGGAGATTTCCCTTCACTTCCGTTCCCTGTGACCCCACTGGAAGGAGGCTTCCTGTTTCTGTGAGACCCCAACTGGAGGGAGACTTCCTGTTTTTGTGACCCCCCCCCCAACTGGAAGGAGACTTCCTGTTTTTGTGACCCCCAACTGGAGGGAGACTTCCCCTCGATACCTGACCCTGGCACAGAAACAGCCAAAACTTTGTCAGAGGTTCAATGCCTTCTTTGCTGTACTATAAATGTGTTCTTGTCTGTGACCCCATGAGATATATTTCAAGTAATCTCCTGTAGTATGGCTCTCTGATCAATTAGTTTATCTGCTGTTGTAGCTGGAGGGGGAGAGATGGCATGTGAAGATAGCAGCCCAGCCAGTGACAAAAAACCTAGTGGAGAGAGAATTAAATATTTAACTAAAGCAGATTACATAGAATGAAGTAAACATTTTGCACATGCGTGCTTTATATTTTATAGAATTGTCACATAACTGTCCTGCTGTGTGGCTGGAGAATGAGGGGGGGTGTGATTTATGTTGAAGTGAGCGAGTACATATTCAACATGTACAAGCTTAGTGTACTCGCCCACATTCAGTGCAAATCCTAGAGGTTGATGGGAATTGTAGTTTTTCTTTTACTGTAGACTAGAGGGAGAGGAGATATGATGTAATCCTTGCTGTCCCAGCTCCTCCTTGGCAGATCAAATGCTGTTATCTTTTGAATTACAGAGATGACTTCCTGAAAATTCAACTAGACTAGTTTAGTGTTTTGTGTAGGGGGTGTACTAATGATGACTTTTTTGCATATCCCTGAGTTCTTCTTTAAGGACAATGGAATTTTAATCTCAGTGATTCTGGCAGTGTGATATGAAACAAGTGGCGAATGTGTAAGAAACTGAATATACAGTCAGGTCCATAAATATTGGGACATGTAACCAATTCTAACATTTTTGGCTCTATACACCACCACAATGGATTTGAAATGAAACGAACAAGATGTGCTTTAACGGCAGACTGTCAGCTTTAATTTGAGGGTATTTACATCCAAATCAGGTGAACGGTGTAGGAATTACAACAGTTTGCATATGTGCCTCCCACTTGTTAAGGGACCAAAAGTAATGGGACAATTGGCTTCTCAGCTGTTCCATGGCCAGGTGTGTGTTATTCCCTCATTATCCCAATTACAATGAGCAAATAAAAGGTCCAGAGTTCATTTCAAGTGTGCTATTTGCATTTGGAATCTGTTGCTGTCAACTCTCAAGATGAGATCCAAAGAGCTGTCACTATCAGTGAAGCAAGCCATCATTAGGCTGAAAAAAAAAAACAAAACAAACCCATCAGAGAGATAGCAAAAACATTAGGCGTGGCCAAAACAACTGTTTGGAACATTCCTAAAAAGAAGGAACGCACCGGTGAGCTCAGGAACACCAAAAGACCCGGAAGACCACAGAGAACAACTGTGGTGGATGACCGAAGAATTCTTTCCCTGGTGACGAAAACACCCTTCACAACAGTTGGCCAGATGAAGAACACTCTCCAGGAGGTAGGTGTATGTGTGTCAAAGTCAACAATCAAGAGAAGACTTCACCACAGTGAATACAGAGGGTTCACCACAAGATGTAAACCATTGGTGAGCCTCAAAAACAGGAAGGCCAGATTAGAGTTTTGCCAAACTACATCTAAAAAAGCCTTCACAGTCCAACATCCTATGGACAGATGAGACCAAGATCAACTTGTACCAGAGTGATGGGAAGAGAAGAGTATGGAGAAGGAAAGGAACTGCTCATGATCCTAAGCATACCACCTCATCAGTGAAGCATGGCGGTGGTAGTGTCATGGTGTGGGCATGTATGGCTGCCAATGGAACTGCTTCTCTTGTATTTATTGATGATGTGACTGCTGACAAAAGCAGCAGCAGGATGAATTCTGAAGTATTTCGGGCAATATTATCTGCTCATATTCAGCCAAATGCTTCACAACTCATTGGACGCCGCTTCACACTGCAGATGGACACTGACCCAAAGCATACTGCAAAAGCAACCAAAGAGTTTTTTAAGGGAAAGAAGTGGAATGTTATGCAATGGCCAAGTCAATCGCCTGACCTGAATCCGATTGAGCATGCATTTCACTTGCTGAAGACAAAACTTAAGGGAAAATGCCCCAAGAACAAGCAGGAACTGAAGACAGTTGCAGTAGAGGCCTGGCAGAGCATCACCAGGGATGAAACCCAGTGTCTGGTGATGTCTATGCGTTCCAGACTTCAGACTGTAATTGACTGCAAAGGATTTGCAACCAAGTATTAAAAGTGAAAGTTTGATTTATGATTATTATTCTGTCCCATTACTTTTGGTCCCTTAACAAGTGGGATGCACATATGCAAACTGTTGTCATTCCTATACCGTTCACCTGATTTGGATGTAAATACCCTCAAATTAAAGCTGACAGTCTGCAGTTAAAGCACATCTTGTTTGTTTCATTTCAAATCCATTGTGGTGGTATATAGAGCCAAAAATGTTAGAATTGTGTTGCTGTGTCCCAATATTTATGGACCTGACTGTAGCTAACAAGAGTAATATTACCTGCTTATTAAAGGTATATAAATCTACGTGTAGTCTAAATTTGGGATATACTGTTTTATTGGATGTCGAAGGTATTTTAGGACTGTTCTAGGATATATAACAGTACTTAATTTGTTTGTTGCAGTTAAAAGATGTAATGTTTTTCTTATGCATTTATTACAGGCAATCAGCAAGTATTTGCCAAGAGGTGATCTACGGCTAAGACCTGTGATTTATGAAATGATCCTGGATGAATTTTTGAGAACTGATTATGAGGTACTGTGCACTGACAATTTTTTTGCTCTTTTATTAAAAAATAACAGTAATTTTTACACCTACTCTTAACATAACAATACCTACCACAATATGTTATATTTTTTTTTTTTAAATGGAAAACTACATTTACTTATATTTTTTTTAATGTGTAATTCGTGTTTCATGAGTCATTGCGATCCCAAGAATGCTTTATAGACTAAAGTAACAATAGGAACTGCCCAGATCAGTTTAAAACTAGCATAAAAGAAAAGGTGCACATGCTACAGGGCATGAAAGTGTGTTTGGAAACTTTTGTATAGAATGAAGAACACCAACTGCAATTGTATTGTTCAGACCTTACTGATTAATGGGTGCTGTAGTTACAGAAGTGGATGGTGCCATTCCATAATGACAGAAAAGCATGTGTCACCAGTGATACTAAACCTAAAAACTTTTTTTTACCTTAATGCATTGCTTGCATTAAGGTTAAAAAACCATTTGTAGCTTCCCTGTCCTTCCCTTTCCCTGGTTGACGGGAAAGAGAGGGGAGAAGGCATCAGCACTGTGCATCTCTCCCCTGGCTTCCTCTTCACACAGGGTGTTGAAAAGCAGCAGGAGCCATTGGCTCTTGCTGCTGTCAATCAAATGCAGTGAAGAGAACGTGGGGGGGCGTGGGTGTGGCTCCATAGACACACAGGTCAGGAGCTAGCACGCAACGTTTGTCCCCATAGCAAACGGCTTGCTATGGGGACACACAAAGAAGAGCTGGAGCCAGGATTGCTGGTTGGGGACCCGAGAAGAAGAGGATTAGGGCCACTCTGTGCAATACCACTGCACAAAGCAGGTGAGTATAACATGTTTGTTATTTTAATTGAAAAAAAAATCTGCCTTTAGTAACACTTTTAAGTAGCTCTGAAAAACCTTTTATTAAAGTGCATGTAATTCATACAATGGATGAATTTCTCTTATTTGCTTCCTTTTGGTATGTTAAATATACCATTGTATCTGTTCCAATAAGTAAGAAAAAAATACCTGCTGAACTTGTCAGAAACTCAGAGTTGTCATGTTATTCAGATGAGAATAGTCCAAGGGATTAGGTAGGTAAACCACTTGGTCATTTCTGACATTTCTCACATACATGTAAAAATCAGCATTTTTTTTTGCTAGAAAAATTACTTGGAACTCCCAAACATTATGTATTTTTTGAAAGCAGAGACCCTGGAGATTAAAGACTATGTTCAATCCTCTGAACATGTTACACCTGTATTTAGGGTGTAACATGTTCAGCATGAACCCCCTCTGCCTCCCTCCTTGTGACAGCCTGTAGGAGATCTTCTCCCCACACTCACTGTCAAAATTTGAAAACAGTGTCACCAACACAGCTGCATTATTCATTCACAGTTTCCTGTGAATGAATAGACTACAAGTAATCTTCCTGCTCTCAAGTAACTGCCTGCTCATATTGGAGGTACAGGCAGGCAGCTATCCTTAGAGTCTGTAGGCTCCATAGAAAAAAAATAATACATGCACATTTTTCTGCCTGTAAAAAAATGTACATTTATTATATTTTGCGCTCCAGAGGATTTACCAGGCCATTTTTTGTGTGACGGCAGTGCGTTGCTTTAACTGGCAATTGCGCAGTCATGCAATGCTGCACCCAAATTAAATTTACGTCCTTTTTCCCACAAATAGAGCTTTCTTTCGGTGGTATTTGATTGCCTGTGCTGGTTTTATTTTTTTTGAGCTATAAACAGAAAAAATACCAACAATTTTGAGAGAAAAAAAACAATATTTTTGACTTTTTGCTATTAAACATGTCCAATAAATAAATTAAAAAAATTACATTTGGTCAGAAATTTAGGGAAAAATGTGTTCTGCTACATGTCTTTGCTAAATAAAATACCAACACGTGTAAATTAATTTGTTTATGTGAAAAGTTGTAGCGTTTACAAATGGCGGTATATATGCTGGAATTTGAAAAAAAAAAAACTTTACTAGTAATGGTGGCGATCAGTGACTTATAGCAGGACTGTTGCGGGCATTCTGACACTAAGGGGAACCTACTTGGTGTCACTGACATCCCCAGTGACACCAATACAGTGATCAGTGCTAATAAAAAGCACTGACACTCTACTAATGGCACTGGTCTTGAAGGGGTTAACATCTGGGGTGATCAAAGGGTTAACTGTGTGCTGTTTAACGGTGTGCTGTATGTGTGCATCTCACAGTAAGCACACTGCTTTGTATGGCTCTGCTATGCAGAGCCATACAAAGCGGTGTGCAGGAGCTGACGGGAGAGAACTGTTTTGTTTACATACAGTTCCCTCCCCCATCAGTAATACTCAGCGATCGCCGGGCACTGACGAGTAATCACCAGTTGGGACCCGGTGATTGACAGCCGAGTCCGCGAATGGCGGCACAGGTAGGGCTCGCGTGCGCCCCCTACTAGAAACGGCAAATTCACATATATACGTGATTTTTGAAAAGTGTGGTGTGCATTTTTTTTCAGCCCAATACAGAGTCAATACTTTATAGAACCACCTTTCACTGCAATTACAGCTGCAAGTCTTTTTGGGGATGTCTCTACCAGCTTTACACTTCTAGAGAGTGAAATTTTTGCCCATTCTTCTTTGCAAATTAGCTCAAGCTCTGTCAGATTGGATGGAGAGCATCTGGACATCAATTTTCAAGTCTTACCACAGATTCTAAATTGGAGTTAGGTCTGGACTTTGACTGGGCCATTCTAACACATGAATATGCTCTGATCTAAACCATTCCATTGTAGCTCTGACTGTATGTTTAGGGTCGTTGTCCTGCTGGAAGGTGAACTTCTATCCCAGTCTCAAGTCTTTTGCAGACTCTTACAGGTTTTGTTCTAAGATTGCCCTGTATTTGGCTCCATCCATCTTCCAGTCAACTCTGACTAGCTTCCCTGTCCCTGCTGAAGAAAAGCATCCCTGCAAAATGATGCTGCCACCACCATGTTTCACGGTGGGGATGGTGTGTTCAGGGTGACGTGCAGTGTTTGTTTTCTACCACACATAGCATTTTGCTTTTAGGCTAAAACGTTCAATTTTGGTTTCATCTGACTAGAGCACCTTCATCCACTTGTTTGCTGCGTCCCCCACATGGCTTCTCACAAACTGCAAACGGGACTTCTTATGACTTTCTTTCAACAATGGCTTTCTTCTTGCCACTCTTCCATAAAGGCCAGATTTGTGGAGTGCACGACTAATAGTTGTCCTGTGGACAGATTCTCCTACCTGAGCTGTGCATGTGTGCAGCTTCTCCAGAGTTACCATGGGCCACTTGGCTGATTTTCAGATTAATGCTCTCCTTGCCCAGCCTGTCAGTTTAGATGGATGGTCATGTCTTGGTAGGTATGCAGTTATGCCATGCGCTTTCCATTTTTGGATGATAGATTAAACAGTGCTCCGTGATGTGTTCAAAGCTTGGGATATTTTTTACAACCTAACCCTGCTTTAAACTTCTCCACAACTTTATCCCTGACCTGTCTGGCGTGTTTCTTGGCCTTCATGATGCTGTTTGTTCACTAATGTTCTCTAAAAAAAAACTCTGGGGGCTTCACAGAACAGTTGAATTTATAGTGAAAATAGATTACACACAGATGGACCCTATTTACTTTAGGTGACTTCTGAAGGCAATTGTTCCACTAGATTTTAGTTAGGGGTATCTGAGTAAAGGGGGCTGAATGCAAATGCACTCCACACTTTTCAGATATTTATTTGTAAAAAAATTTGACATAATTTACCATTTGCCTTCCACTTCACAATTACAGTATGTGCCACTTTGTGTTAGTCTATCTCATAAAATCCCAATAATATACATTTACATTTTTGGTTGTAACATGACAAAATGTGGAAAATTTAAAGGGGTATGAATACTTTTTCAAGCACTGTATATTGGTTGTGTTAAATGTCCTTATATAACACTAGTTATGTAAACCACTGGATGCAGACCTCCTACTTTTGTTAGGATTTCCTTCCCTTACTCTAGCCGCTTCCCGTCTGCCCTATAGCAGAAATACTGCTACAGGGCAGCACGGGGTGTGCAAAATCACGTGTGTGTGTGTATATATATATATATATATATATATATATATATATATATATATATATATATATATATATATATATATATATATGATTTTTCATTTCCGGGTAGGGGGTGCTCGCCCTACCCGCGCCACCATTCGCGGCCGCTGCTGTGATTACTCTCCGGCACAGCACAGCCATTCAAAGCTGTGTGCTTACAGTGAAACACAAAACACACAGCCCCATAGTAAAACAGACCCAGCACACAGTTAACCCTTTGATCGCCCCTCATGTTAACCCCTTCCTGCCCAGTGCCATTAGTACAGTGTCAGTGCTTTTTTTTTAGCACTGATCACTGTATTGGTGTCACTGGGGATGTCAGTGACTCCAAGTCAGTTCCCCCCAGTGTCAGAATGCCCGCTGCAGTCCCACTATATGTTGCTGATTGCCGCCTTTACTAGTAAAAATTAAATAAAAAATTCCAGTATCTATACCGCCATTTGTAAACATTATAATGTTCACGTAAACCAATTAATGTACATGTATTGGGATTTTTTTTTAGTAAAGACATGTAGCAGAATATATTTTGGTCTAAATTTATGACAAAATTTGATTTTTGATTTTTTTTACTGGACATGTTTAGTATTAAAAAGTAAAAAAAAAAAATTTTTTTTTTCTCAATTTTTGACCTTTTTTTTTTTCTTATAGTGCAAAAAATAAAAACCACACATGCGATCAAATACCACCAAAAGAAAGCTCAATTTGTTGGAAAAAAAGGACATCAATTTCATTTGAGTGCAGCATTGCATGACCGCGCAATTGTTAGTTAAAGTAACACAACGCCATAATGCAAAAAATGGCCTGGTCAGGAAGGGGGTAAATCCTCTGGAGGGGAAGTAGCTAGATAATAAAACAACATCCCTCTGTTGAAAAGTCCAGAGGTCAATGTTTACTTTATGTTCAAAAGCTTACTGTACATATTCTGCTTTTCATTGTAAAATAAAAAAGTTTTCCTTGTTTATTTTACTTTGATTATATATAGTATATATGTGTTTTTCTTGGGTAACTCAGTAGGAGGCTTAGTTATTATACTGACAGTTCTTTTCAGGTGGATTAAAAGCCAGTGGGGTTTACAGCCAACTAGCTGTGGATCCTTTGGCAATTGAGAATACAACTATGATTATGTTTTGATTGCTTAACCTACGATGCACAGAGGTTTTAGATTTCTATTCAGACAGGAAATTCCGTGGAACAGAATTTTCACATCAATGGGATTTCAACTCGCTGTTATTTCTGAATTGTAGTTTTCATATTGATATGCTTACCACAGAGATTTTAAATTTTACTTTAAAATAATAAAAAACAATTAGCAAGTATACTGCGTATGAATAGCTGTGAAAACATAAATAATAAACTTTTGTTGTTCCAGTACAATCTAATCTTGTTCTTCATTTTACACATGAGCATACATCACAGAATATGTTGTTTCAGACACTATTTGAATGCCCTGGTGTCTGACATAGGGCCTGACAGCCACATGCATCTCTTTAGTGCTTGAGCTGTGGTCCTCAGACCACAAGCAGTATTGGAAGAGGGAGCTTTGGTTTTTAATAGGGGTTGGAAGGACAGTGATCAAGTTGTATGTCCCCAGACGCTGGTTGTTTCCTGCAGCATATTTCCAATCCTCACCTACACGTGTAGTATGTTTGCAAATGGAGGACACCATTGGTCCTACAAAAAAATGATCCAAGTGTATTCCCACTGTGTTGGAGGTGCAAACAAGAAGTTGGTATGTTAATTCCTGATGAAAGGTACTGATACTTTACATAAGGTGATTGATGTGCCTCTTGGGGACGACTCGGCAGCCTGTCTGCTGCATGTTACCCCAATGATAATTAAGTGATACAAAAATTCTCTTCTCAAGTGCTTTCTCAGTGCAGCCAAAGCCTGCATTCCAGCCATGTGCAGAAAGCCCTCTCTGACAGCTGTGGAGCAGGGACTGTACTGTGTAGCAGATCTTCAGTTAAAGTGTTTGTAAACCTTAAAATATATTTGCTTTAAAATAACAAACAGGTCATGCTTACCTGCTTTGTGCAAAAGTTTTGCACAGAGCAGCACCAATCCTTCTCTTCTTGGGTCCCCCTGAATTTGCTCCTGGCTCCCCCCCCCCCCAAATACCCCCATAGCAAGCCAGTTGCTATGGGGCACTTGTGAGGGCTCACTCCTGAGTGTACTGTGTATCCATTGACATACAGAGTGGGGCTTGGCCCCACCCCCACTCCCTCCTCACTGGCTGTGATTGACAGCAGTGGGAGCCAATGGCTCCCCCTGCTGGCTGTCAACCAATGAGGAGGGAGAGTGCATAAAGAGCCTTTGCTCTCATGCAGACGCTGGATCAAGATCGGGCTCAAATAAGTATAAGGGGTGGGGGGCAGAGGGGCATGCTGCATCACATAAGGGTTTACTTTAATGCAGAGAGTGCATGAAGGTAAAAATCCTTAAGCCTTTAGAACCACTTTAATAGAGCAATAAATGGGTGACTAGAAAGAGCAATCAGGAAAACATTTCAAAACCTGGACCCAATGGTTTTTATACAGATGATCTGATAAGTGGGTAATCAAGGCAGCAAGTTCAAAGGGCAAATCCCCCTTCCCTCCATCCCCTCCCCTCTCCTTCTCCCTCGCATTTTTTTCATGTTTTTTCCTTTTGTTTTTCCCCTTGCTCCTTTTTCCTTTACATTCCACATACTACCCTTCCTATTCTAGTACCTACCTATTCACCCCTGTGAAAACAGAAATTGACAACTGGAGCAACGGTGACTCATAGGGGGTATATACTAAAACTGGAGAGTGCAACATCTGGTGCAACTCTGCATAGAAACCAATCAGCTTCCATGTTTTATTGCCAAACCTCAGCTAAACAAGCTGAAGTTACTGTAGAAGAGGATTGGCTACAATGCACAATTGTCCCAGATTCTGAGTGCTCCAGTTTTAGTAAATCTTACCTTGTCATTAGGGGGGAGATTTATTAAAGCTGGTTCACTCAGTCTGTTGCAGCTGTGCATGGTAGCCAATCAGCTTCTAACCTCAGCTTGTTCAGTTATGCTTTGGCAATAAAATCTGGAAGCTGATTGGTTTCTATGCAGACGTGCACCTGATTTTGCACTCTCCAGCTTTAGTAAATAAACCCCTAGATATTTAATATTTAACTTGTAATGTTTAAAGCAGAACTCCAGGCAAAAAAGTCTTTACATGTCCTTGTTGCTGATTTCCTACCTTTACTGAATAATGTATGTCATCCATCTTCTGGTTCACTCAGTATTGCTCTGAAATAGCCTATTCATTTTGAAATCAAACCATTAACTCCCTTTGGTTTCCTGCTTGTAAGACCAATAGCTGCAATGCCTCCTATTCCCCCAGCTACTGATCTTGGCACATCCCTTCTGTAGTTATTTCTACAGGAAGCAGTGATGTAATTCATCCCCACATGCAGTGGTGGACGGATCGAGCCTCTCAAACTCTGACACATTCAACATGTACAGGCCTAGTGTACCCACCCATATTCACTACAATTCCCTGTGGTTGATGGAAAATGTAGTTTCCTTTTACCGCAGAGACAGAGGAGAGGATATGATGTAATCCCTGCTATTACACCTCCATGGTAGAGCTGACGCTGTTCTCTTATGAATTACAGAGATGAGGTCATGAAAATTCAATTAGACTTTTCTCCTGAATGGTAAGGATTTTCAAAATGGTATTAACCATTTAGTGTTTTGTGTAGGGAGGTGTACTAATGGATCATTTGTTTTGCCTATCGTGGAGTTCTTTAAGGATTATATTCTGTCACTATGTATCATACTGGACTACTATAACAGATCACTTTTTCTTACATGCTTGTCTTCAACAGTCACACATTTAGTATACCTTATGTTCCATCCTGTTGGGAGTCTTAAATAAAGAATTAAAAAATATATATTTTTTACATGTAAACTTTTTTAAAATTGGTAACTGAGACTCCAGGAGCAGTATGTCTGTTTAAATGCTTGGGGCTATAAGTCTGTGTTACTACAGTGCTGCAAATTCTCTACCTGTATAAGTTTTGTTATGTTGAAATGTTTTATACAACCAGTTCCAGGCCACAAACCTTTTATAAAAATATATCTTTCATATTTTTACAGGGATTCGCAACACTAATAAGAGAATGGCCTGGAGACCTTTACAATAACAAAACCATAGTAAAAGCTTTAAAGGGGCATCTAAGCAAAGAACCAAACAACAGAACACTTCTGGAGGCTCTGGCAGAATTGTAAGTTAAGCCTTTGCATATACAGTTGTTTCTTCTTTATACTGTATTAAGTAGTCTATTTATTACTTCTGAAGTTTCTGTTCAACCAAGGGTTGGGAGGTTGTGACATTTAAAAAAATTGTTTTAATTTTGTATGTGCCCAATACTGTTGTAAGACTGAACAGTGGAATCAAAGGACAGTGTAGGGCTGGTGTATTAAAGGGGAAGTCTCATGAGAAGTTAAAAAAGACTTGTTAAACTCCCAGGGGACCAATTGCACATAACACTTACAACTTGTACAGGGGTTGCTGAGCTTCATGGTCGGATAGCACCGCTGTCCCATTTTTCTGGAGTGAGCTGACAAAGTGCTGTGTGACAGTGCACAGAGGAGGAGGGAGCATTACAGACACAGAGCCCACAAATCTGCTTACTCCTCTGTACATCTGCAGCCATCCTTTCTACTAAGCCCTGTCCCTCCTCTGCTGCCCTTGTAGTGTGAAAAGACTAAGCCCACAATCTCCAGCAGCTGCCAGTTAGTTCAGGGAATGCTACAGTAGTAACTGGCAGCTTGTGTTATGAATGACGGTAGCTGGAGATCAGCGCCGTCATTCACAAAAACAAGCCAACAGCTTTTAGACTAGTCTCTCTCAGACAAATGTAGTAGATGCCAGCTTGTGTTGTTGGCTTGTGTTTTCGTGTATGACACTGCTCCTCTCCCGTCACCATCATTCATAACACAAGCAACCAGCTAGTTTTGAGGAGATGACTACAGTAATAGCTGGCAGCTTTTGTTGTCACTCAGGGTGGCTGAATAGCAGCACTGGTATTCACAAAAATAAACAAAATGTAACTTTTCACATAATTAGATATTTGAAGTAAATCCTTACTCTGTTTTGTTTGAATAGTCTCAACTTTAGTAAATCAGCCTCAATATGTACATTTCTCACTTTCTTTTTAATACCATATAGTGCATATTTATTCTTAGTGAACTATGGCCTTCCATTAAATATATGTACCGCAACACTTTATTTTAAGTCAGTCTGCACTTAGTTTTCTTTTAATCCCCCTGCAAAATCCCACAAATACCTAAAGTCCACCTACTGTTGCTTCCTGTGATAATGTGGCAACAGTGCTACACTGCTCCTGAATTCAGAACAGCTTTCAATCTTATATAGGCTGTCCCTGCATGCACTACAGTCCAATTTGAAAATGTTGCAGGGTGCATGACTATCAGTATGGTAACTTCAGACTCACAAGCCTGTAGCTTGTTAATTAGCACCTAGCCACAGTTAGTCCTGGCCACTGCTTTCTGGATTGGTGGTTTTTTTGCACATTTCCATGGTCTATGAAGGGGAAGTAATAATTCAGAAAACTTGGATGCATTAGATGAGGTTTCTCAGCAGGATTACTGAGTTTGTAATAAGGTGAGACGTGGCAGTCCAGGAGCATCTAGAAGTAAACCAAACCTTTGACTTGAGTTGGTTTGAGCATCTTATATGGATCCTTAATGGGATACGTCTTTGTGAAGGCACAGCCAACTGAAAGAAGGCCTACATCATGCTTTCAAGATCCTATCTCCCAATAGAGAGATCTTGAAATTTACTACCACCCGTGTAGGACCAAACATCCTGATAATGACTGTTACTATACAAACTAAATAGTTTGCACTGTAGCTGTACAGTCTTTGTGAAGATGCTCTCTTGCCTAGTGTGGTCAATTTTTAAAAGGAAACCAGAGGGACTGGCACGAACACCAGGGCTTTCACACAAAGGAAGCTATACAAAGAGAGCTGAATACTTTTTCATACAAGTACATGGTCCCACAGGCACATATCAGGAATATGAAATGTTGGATTTTCATATTCTTTAATGCATTACAGCCACACCAACTCATATACTTTTAAGAGACTATATACCGTATTTTGCGCTCCATAAGACGCACATTTTCCCCCCAACAAAGGGGGGAAAATGTCAGTGTGTCTTATGGAGCGAATATGGAGCGGCCGGTCCGGTATTTCCACCGCCGCCGTGTCAGAATACCGGGCCGGCCGTTCAGCTCTGCAGCAGGACCTTACCTGTTCCTCGGTCCATCGCTGTGCAGTTTTCCCGCACCGGCTTCTTTAGTGTGGGCTCTCGGCTTGATAGCCGGGTGCCCAGTGCGCATGTGCGAGTAGCGCTGCACTTTGTGAATGGTACAGCGTCTTCTGGTACACATGACAGGTCCCAGAAGACGGCGGACCAATCACAAAGTGCAGCGCTTCTCGTGCACAGCCGGGTGCCCAGACTAAAGGGAGGACAACTCCGCGGAAGTGGGAGCGGGTACCTGTCAAGTTCAGGTACCCGCTCCCCCTCCCTCCCCAAAGGTCAGCAGTCATCTCCTGTACCGTGTCCGCAGTCTCTTGGTCATCCCCTGCACTGTCTGCACTCTCTGGTCATCTCCTGTACTGTCTGCAGTCTCTTGGTCATCCCCTGCACTGTCCGCAGTCTCTGGTCATCTCCTGTACTATGTCCGCAGTCTCTGGTCATCTCCTGTACTATGCCCGCAGTCTCTGGTCATCTCCTGTACTATTCGCAGTCTCTGGTCATCTCCTGTACTGTTCGCAGTCTCTGGTCATCTCCTGTACTGTTCGCAGTCTCTGGTCATCTCTTGTACTGTTCGCAGTCTCTGGTCATCTCTTGTACTGTCAGAAGTCTTTGGTCATCTCCTGTACTATGTCCGCAGTCTCTGGTCATCTCCTGCACTGTCCGCAGTCTCTGGTCATCTCCTGTACTATGTCCGCAGTCTCTGGTCATCTCCTGTACTATGTCCTCAGTCTCTGGTCATCTCCTGTACTATGTCTGCAGTCTTTGGTCATCTCCTGTACTATGTCTGCAGTCTCTGGTCATCTCCTGTACTATGTCTGCAGTCTCTGGTCATCTCTTATACTATGTCCGCAGTCTCTGGTCATCTCTTATACTATGTCCGCAGTCTCTGGTCATCTCCTGTACTATGTCCGCAGTCTCTGGTCATCTCCTGTACTATGTCTGCAGTCTCTGGTCATCTCCTGTACTATGTCCACGGTCTCTGGTCATCTCCTGTACTATGTCTGCAGTCTCTGGTCATCTCTTGTACTATGTCCGCAGTCTCTGGTCATCTCTTGTACTATGTCCGTAGTCTCTGGTCATCTCTTGTACTATGTCCGTAGTCTCTGGTCATCTCTTGTACTATGTCCGCAGTCTCTGGTCATCTCCTGTACTATGTCTGCAGTCTCTGGTCATCTCCTATACTATGTCTGCAGTCCATTGTTTCAGAATATTTTTTATCTTGTTTTCTGCCTCTAAAACCTAGGTGCGTCTTATGGTCAGGTGCGTCTTATGGAGCGCAAAATACGGTAGTTTTTTTCAGTAATTTTTTTTAAATAAACCTGTAAAAGAAATCAAGTTGTGAAGATTAATCTTAAAATAATTCTTGTTTTCATTTATTGAGGAATACAGGATTCATTGACATTTGGGTAAACAGCTGCCTACAGGAGTATTTGGCAAACAAACAACACAGTGACCAGCCTGGTGTAGCCACTCCTACTCCTATCATTTCTCAGTTAACACAATTATTGTTACAAATGAACGTCTTTTCTTTATTGACGAAAGATTATTACTAGCCATTTCACTTTATTTTTTCTTTAATCATGATTTCATCTACATACTGCTGAGCTGAGCTTTTTTGCAGCTATCCAGCTCGATGTATCCTCAGCAATGGTTTTGGAGTCTGTACCCAGACACTGCTGTACTAATTTTACAGAGCCTACTTGGAATATGACCTTCTGAGCTCTGCTTTGTTGCTTTCCAGACCTCTGTGTATTCTGATTATTAGCTGCAGAGAGCTTTCCGGGTACAGAGCCATGGCAGAGCCTATGGTGTGGCCGAGTCTCTAAAGACTCTTTATAAGCAGGCTGTTTCGGTAGAAAACAGCAAAATAAGTAGAAAAGATTCTGTAATGAGAAGAACGTCTTATTCCAGCTTTGTCTGCCATTCACATCCCAGTGTGGACCATCGCCAGGTAGATTTCTTCAGCCAACAGCACTTCTGGCCATGGTGAGTGGTCCCTACACCGTGAAGTGTTCCAGAGTCCATGACACAGGTGGGGGGTGCCGGGTGTAGACCTCCTGGTTTACAGATTTGCCAAAAAATGGGAAAGGTTTTTATCATGGTACGGACGGAGATCCTCTGCTGAACTCAGTAGATACTCTGTGGCTCTGCAGGATCAGTACACCCTGATCTACATCTTTTCTCCCCTAAAACTTCTTTCTTGTTTGTTATGCAAGATCGAGATGCACGGCATTCTGGAGGTACTTGTAGCTTGGAAGCGGCCTAGAGCTATGGTTGTAGCCTGACTGTAGTATGGCTACAATGTATGGCGGATCTGGGTGGAAAAGGCAAGCATAGTCAAGCTCTCTTGATGAGAGCACATGATAGCTCATTAGGTGTATTAACCCATGCCATATCAGAGGATTACAGCAGCCTGGGCAGGAAGGAGGAAGACTTTCACTAACAGAAGTGAAATTGGCTCAAGGGACACATCCGAACTGTAAGTTATGCCCATTGTAGTGATTTCTCTTTGTGATTTTGACTGCACTTAGAATTTAATTCAATACTTTTCTTTGAAAAGGTTTTCAGACATTTTAATTTCCTGGTACATGGGAAATTATATGTATCAATGAGAAAGAAGGGAGAATAATAAATGAATCATAGCTTATAATGTAATAAAACTTTTGCTTAGCGTACTTTTTAAAACAACCTCCTCAGTAGTGTGTAGAAAAGGTTGAAAAGAGTGTTTTGCAATTTTGTCATTTGCATGAGCAAATGCCCACTCTTGTCTTCTGAAGGTAAGGATTATAGTTTAGGCAGAGCCATTAAAGAGAGCGGGGGGGGGGGAGGAACAGGTACCCGAATTTGACAGGTACCCGCTCCCACTTCCGGTCTGGTCGCCTAGTCCTCCCTCCCTCCTTGTAGTCTTTTGGGACATGTGACAGGTCCCAGAAGACTACAGGACCACTCACGAAGCGCAGCACTACTCACGCATGCGCAGTGGGTACCCGGCTGTGAAGCCACAAGCTATCACAGCCGGATGCCCACAATTAAGATGCTGGCCTCCTGGAATACAGGATGGCCAGTGAAACAAGCTTCGGGGGACACACCACGGGACCGAGGGACAGGTAAGTGGCTGTTTTTCTTAAAGTCAGCAGCTACAGTTTTTGTAGCTGCTGACTTTTATCTTTTGATAGGCCAAGTGGAACTCAGCTTTAACTGTTTAGTTCTGCCTGAATGTCACTTCACTAACTCCCTTTGGCTAAGGTCTATGGTTGCCACCTCATCTCTTTTAAAACCAAACACATTATATTACATAGATTCTGTGGTTGATCAAGGTAGTGTTTAAACTCAATGCCATATTTTCATTAAATTAGCCTCAGCACTTTTGTAAGTAATATACTATGTTCGGTTTTGAAGGGATAAGGTGGCAACCGTACTAATGTCATGTGATGAAATGCTGGCAGATTGAGAGTATGCACATGTGTATGTATATATAGCCCACTGAGGTGCTCTAGGTCTGCTAGTTCTTTTTTTGCTATGTTTAGAAAAGCTGATCTGGGGCAATGTTCCAAAATTGTGCCAGTGTTTCTCTTACCAGTGAGATTAAGCTCAGTAACTCTAAATTAAACTAATTTCTCTATCCTGAGTTAACAGTGTTCTAGTTCCAAATCTCCTGAGCTTTTAATGCCTTTTCTTTACAGACATGTATATGACCAGTGTTACAGTAAAGCTCTTGAAATTTATTTAACACTTCGGCACAAAGAGGTCTTTGAACTTATAAACAAACATAACCTCTTCAGCTGTATCAAGGACAAAATTGTCTTACTCATGGATTTTGATACGGAGGTATGTAAAAATTTTCTATATGAATACTTTTTTTATAGTTTTAATAATGAACATAACGTAAACAGTATAAAAAAGAATTCCGTTATTATAGCAGAAGATGATGGATGTCCTGTAATATTAGTAATGATAGTGGCATAATTGCACACAAAATGCTCAGTTCTCTAAAAATGCTATAAAGCATGTTTTAAGTGCCATTTGATGGTTGTTTGCAGCCATGTTACCTACTGTAATTTTCAGCTTTCATTGGCTCTTACTGCCAGAGATTATGGTCATTATGACAGGTAACAATTATTGGAGCCAACAGTTTTTTTTTTCCATCACAATAGTTTTGGAGTTTATATGATATCCCTATTACCTAGCTGGTAAAGTGTAAAAATGCAAGTTTTCAAAACACGTTTGTTTCTTGTTTGTTTTATAACTATATATTTATAGAAGTTTCTTCAAAAAGGCATTAGATTCATTGGAAATCTATTGTTCTCAGCTTGAAACTTACATCACGGTTTTTACAACTGTACCAGTCAAAAGTAACACTTTCAATAAAGTAGGTCCATTATCTGACATAGAGTAGTGATGAGCTGAGGCGTATTCAGAGCCTAGTCAAAACCCACCTGAGCAAGCTTGCCAGGAAATTGTCATCTATACTGGACCAATCATCTGCATCCAAGGCATTCCACTCCCTGCAGCCGCACATATACAGTAGGCATGTATATATTCAGCTGTGTGGGTGAGGAATGCCTCAGCCGCTTATGATTGGTCCAGTACTGTGACAGCTTCCCTGGTGGGGATCACTAAGGTGGGTTTCGGACTGTAACCTCAACAAATATATGTATAGAATGGACTTTTCAAGGCATATGCATAAAACAATGTACTAATGAGAATGTAATACAGTTGAAAACTACATCATCTTTTTTAAATAATGATAAAAACAATGCACCATGACCAGTTTATATATTGGGTATCCATGCAGTGTGCCAAAAGTGTTGTTCTCATGTCAGTTGTGAATGGTTCTTAAGAGACGACAAAGTCCACATGAGGAGACTCCGTGTGTTTCAAATGCTTCTCTTTTCAGTAGTACATGTGAACAGTATCTAAATCGTAGTATACTTCCCAAGTGATATATTCAGATTCAGTCATTACTGCAGCTCTAATTCAGATTGTTTACATACATGTTATTGCTATCACAAACGGTCTTAGTCATACCAATTGACAAAATAAATGGATTGATTCCTCAACAGCTCAAAATGGGACCCATCAGATCCACAAACATCAGAGAACAATCATAAGGGATGCTAGTGATGCCAACAGATGTGTAGATAGAAATAACAATTTCAATATGAAAATATATACTAGTTCAAATTATAAAGCCACTATGTAAAAGTAGCATATCTGTTCATAATAAAGGTTATTTACCAGGTGTTGCTTTCATTTACACTACACAGGGATACAGGAGGAGCATTATATTTGAAGGTGATTATAGAGTATAGGTTTAGTTTGAAACAAGAAAATTATCAGAGCCCCCCATATTTTAGATATATCATAAAAAAAACATAAAATAAATACTTCAGAGCAGAATTCTCTTCAGTATTATCAAATTAAAACTAGTCCAAATGTAGACCCACTTAGATGAAAACTGCACACAAATCATATATATAATTTCCAGAGTCCATGTCTCATCCATCCACATCATACACTGCCCAGAGTCGCATAGATGTTCATTTATATTTTAAATTGCTATATATATTCCTCTGGGTAATCCAGCTAAAAGCCCATGTGAAGTTGCCAATCATTAAAGGGTGTATGATATTCCCCATATGTGTTAGTTCCACCAGTGGCCAAAATGCGGAGATGAAACACATCCCCATTAGCATCCCCCCGGCACTTCCGGGTCTCGACCAGCTCCGGAAAATAGTGTGGCCGTCACATCAGCAACTACACACATGTGCAACTGATGTCATTTTGCTTTGTGGCCATGCATACACAAATGGATCTGAAGGATCCGTGCATCCTTAAAGCTCAAGATGGCAATCAGCTGTGAGCCTTTCTTGTATAAGCTACTTAGCCTTTCAAAGGAATTTTCTACATTTCAGTACTTGTTATAATGGGAACAGAAATTGTAGAATATTTAAAACTTCATAAGCGTAATAAATTCACAGTAACCCTAGGTTCACACCTAAGCATTTTCCGCAGCATTTTGCAGAAATGCACTACAGTCCATTTAACATGATTTTCTATGGGACAGGTTCACATCTCCGCGTTTTTACCTGGTGTAATTTGTGGAAAGTGTCAGGGAATTTTTAAACGCAAAAAGTTTTTGGTTCTATAAACTTCAATGGAATTGCTGCAGAAAAGCATGTAGTGCGTTTTTGATCCGTTTATCATTTTAAATCTGCCTAGCAACAAAAGAAAAAAAAAGAAAAAAAAATTGCAAAACGCAGCAAAAACATGGGAAAAAGTGTCAAAAAATTCAAAACACTGCGGAAATGGCTCAAACACAAACTGCATAGGTGTGAACCTAGCCTTTAAGCTATCTGGCAGAATGCCTGCTCTGTACTTTTAAAGCATATCTATAGTCAAAATTTAATTTAGTCACCATTTTTTTTGTATTTGTTTTTCAAATTTTCACAAAGATATTATCATCAATTACTGTTTTAGCCCAAAGCACGAAAAAGTGATGCTTTACAAAGGTTTCTGGTATCTGATCCAGGCCACAGCTTGGTACCCCTTTTCTTGCTAACAGCATATCAAAAGTACAAAAGAATGGAATTAACTATGCTGTTACCATGGTAAAGAACAGCCTCCTAATGCTGTATTTCTTAATGCTGTATTATTCAATAAACAGATCAGCAGGTAGGCATTTGAAACACATCCTTTTACTTCTTACTAAAACATCCAAAAGCATAAAAATCATAAAGCATTAGTTTGCGTTTTGAGGAAAATATTTAGGCTCGCTACCCGTGCCAATGGTTCTCATGCCTAAAGGGTCCTCTTCATAAAGTGCAAAAAGTGACATTCTTTATGCGTTACCTAAGCTTGGTCCCAGACCACACCCAGGTAACCATTTGTTTGCTAACAGCATTATATTAAAATATTTTGTTGGTGCTGTAAATTGATGTAAATTTCTATGTAAAATGCAGCATGGGATAAATGTTGTTAAAGGTAGGATTGTTTTCAGCCAGAGCTTCAAGTGATGCTTCATATTTAAGCATGTTGGTCTTATTTAAAAAAATACCTACAATGATTACGCAGTTACTATATTGTTCCTTGCATGCATCAGCAGATAACAGTAGAAAGTGTGAATGACTTTAGCTCTGGCTGGATTCACACTATAGCGGTGCGAGAAATCGCATGTGATTTAGACAGGACCGTAGTTCAAATCACATGCGATTCTTTCCAGTGCGATTGGAGCCCATTCAGTGTGTATGCTGCACTGGAATCAGATTGCATGGGTGAAAGGTTGGCTACGTGAGTTTAGGCCTGCTTTAATTAGGGTTTCATGACAATATGTACAGTATAAGTAAGGTAAAATTATAATTATGATTTTTTTTATTTTATTTTTTTATAGAAAGCTGTTGATATGCTTTTGGACAATGAAGACAAGATTTCTGTAAGTATCTCCTTTTCCACATTATATCTTTTGGCTGTTTTAAGAATGGGTGTCATGTAACGTGTGTGTGTGTGTGTGTGTGTGTGTGTGTGTGTGTGTACACCATATATACACACATATTGAGGTGTTAGGGATGTTGATCACTATAATTGATACAAATACACAATATCCTAAAGGCTGTTTTAGTGTAGGGCTGCTTGTGACTTGTGCTTTAACTGATTAGCGATGGTATATGAATCAGGTTCTCTTTGCAGCCAGTTTCACTGGCCGTCCTCGCTTCCCGGTGCCAGCATTTTAAGTGTGGGCACCTGGCTTTGACAGCTTGCAGCTTCACAACCGGGTGACCACTGCGCATGTGTGGGTAGCGCTGCACCTTGTGAATGATCTCATAGTCTTCTTGGATCTGTCACATGTTTCAGGAGACTACGGGGAGGGAGGGCAACTTCCGCTTCTGATCACCTAGGTGATCGCAGCGGAAGTGGGAGCAGGTACCCGTCAAAATCGGGTACCCGCTCCCCCACTCTCCAAAAGTGCCAATTCCTCACGGGGAGCAGTAATTAAAGCAGAACTTGCTCTTTTGCGTGGAGCTCTGCTTTAATCTAAAGCACCACACCTACAGAAGCTGATGATAAAATGCACATGTCAGGAGGGCGAAAATGTGGCTGGACAGAATTACCAATTGTTCTCTGTCATATGTCAATATATGTAAATACATGCCTCCTGAGACCCAGTCTAAGTAATCAGTATGGCACTAGCTGGGTTGACACGATCCAAAGGCAGTTTTACTGTTCGAAAAGCGGCAAAAGTTGAATCTAGTCAAATATGTGTTCTTTACTCAAAAAAGTACACTATTTAGTCCTCAGGCTCTTCCAGTTCTGCAAATTATTTTCTTTTTGATGCTGTAATCTGTCTTCCTGTTTAGAGGGTGGCTGTGTTTATTCTCTATAGCTTCACTGTATGTAGGAATATAACTACATTTTTTTGCTCGCTCCTGAGAAGAACTATGGACTATGAATGATGGGGTTTGTAGTATGCATATAACAGTGCACTGCTTGCTCCAAACAAACATAAGAGAGGGGGTAAAGTAGAAGTTCAGGAGCTTACAGAGGTAAGAAACCATGTCATGAAAAAAGATTATAGGTGTATTAATTATTTTTGGAGAATAAAGATATCATTTTAACATCACTCTAAACTCAAAACTTCAATACAAAGGTGTTATGCCAGGAGTGTCTGGGTAAAAGCTGTTCTAACAGCAAGTGAGAGAAGGAACAGGAAACACCAATACACACAGAATAATAAACAGGCTACTGTGGCAGCTAGTTCACCCATAACTTGTATCTGATATTTTTTTCCCTAAAATACATTTTGATAATATAGTCATAAGGAATGCATTTTAATTCTATGCAATTCATCAATGTTTTATTGTTACATTTATTGTAGATTGATAAAGTTGTGGTGGAATTAAAAGAGAGGCCAGAACTGCAACATGTGGTAAGTCACATCTCTTCAAGACTTATATAACTGATAAAATGTATTGTAATGAATCTGTGCTATGATAACGTGTGTCTGATGGCAAACATTTTGATATACTCAGACCTAAAGACTTTTAATATTGTGAAATGATGCAATGCCAGTGAATATAACAGAAAAAGTAACAGTAATTAAAGACTTTCTCTTAATTTAAAGTTCATATCAGGGGTGGACTGACAACTCATGGGGCCCCCGGGCAATAGGGGATCATAGGGCCCCTGTGTCCTTGCCCAAACTCAAAAAAGCCTATGAAAAAGGTACCAGGGACATCTCATGGGGCCCCCCACTGACCCTGGGCCATCGGGCAGTGCCTGAGTTTCCAAATTGTCAGTCCACCCCTGGTTCATATACTTTCAGAAAAAAAAAAAGATCTTCCACCATCCAATAGATTGTTGTAGCGTGACAAAAATACTACCACCACCTTAATCAAATGCACACTCACCAAACCATAAGCTGTAACAGGTACAGCAGACGCAGCATGTTTCTCAGGCACAAATCCTCCCCAGGTGTATGCACTTTCACTTCTCTTAGGCAGCAGCAAAAGGCAACTCCCACTGGAACAGATTGAGCTCACCCAGGAGCCAACAGAAAGCCAATTATGGTGTTGTAGTTTAAATAACGGTTTGTTGTGAACTCACTTAGAGCTCATTTACACTTACTTCGACTTTAACACACACTAAAGCACATACCACTTCAGCATGCTTTTTTGGTGCTTCGATGATGCTTTTTCGCCCTGTGTGTGTTGATTTTTTATTTGTTTTAAAGGGGCTAGTAGAACCCCAGCTCAGTAGTACCCCCACTCAGCTCATTAGTATCCCTGTTTAGCAGATCCCCAGCTTATTGGTACCCTCGTTCAGCAGATCCCCAACTTATTAGTACCCCTGTTCAGCAGATCCCTCACTCACTACTAACCCCCAGCTCTGGTGATCTCCTGCTTAGTAGTACCCCCAGCTCTGCTGATCTCCCACTCAGTAATAACCCCCAGATCTGTTGATCCTCTGATTTGCTGATCCTCTTTTTCTGGTCCCTGTTCATTTACCCTTATATTTTTCCTATGCTGTGCACAATGTGTGACATTGCTAGTTTCTCCTATTGTGGTCCCCAGCTCTGCTGGTCCTCTGCCACTCAGTCCTCTCTCTCCAGTCCCCTCTCACTTTCCACTATAGCATTCCCATGTTGCACACTATGTGTGCTGTCTGCTAGTTGCTCTGCTCCAGTCTGGACCCCACTCACCTTTCTGCTGCTCCTTGCTGCACACCAGATGTGACGGCTGTTCCAGTCATATACACATGAACCAGAACTGACTGCTGATTACATCTTTTCCGTTCACTTGTTGGTTTACCAGGGCAACCTGGGATATCCCATACCTGCAATACTTACAAAACAAAGCAAAGCTAAAGCTGAATAAAAGCCTCCCAAAAGCTGCAAGTGCTGTAAGCGAGCTTTTTCATAGACTTTTCTGAAGGTCTTAAAGACGCTTTGAAGCACCGAGAAGCAACATGAGGTGTAATTTTTGAAGCAAGGTAAACACAATGTATAAACTGGATTGTAAGTTTTTTTTTGTTTTTGTTTTTTTTTTTTTCCAAAAGTAAGTTTACCATTTTATTTAGTGACAGATGCTTTGATTGGCATTCAGAGTGCTTTAAAAAAGTGTCCAGAGCCACATTTTGAAGCAAGTGTAAACAAGCCCTTAGAGAGCTGCTGATGACCTGAATTCGTGCAGTGACGTGACATCAGCACTGAGCTTCTATCCTTTCCGAGATTTTGCAGAATCTCAGTGCTGACGTCATGCCGTGGCATGATCCCAAGTTGTCAGCAGTTCTCTAAGTGTGTTTTTACTGTGTTTTTTCACTTTCACATTGTTCTAACTGGATGACTGGCTTTGTTCTACATTAATACTAAATTTTAATACTGCATATAAATGATGAAGAGTGGACATGCCATTTAAAAGACGAGATTATTCTTTTTATGTCTCAAGCCTAAATGAAATATTATTTTGAAATCCTGATTTTGTTTATGGGCTATTTTTTGTGCAAATAAAGTGTTTTAATAATACACTGCTCAAAAAAATTAAAGGTACACTTTGAAAACACATCAAATCTCAATGGGGAACAATATCATGCTGAATATCTATACTGATATGGACTGGGTAATCAGGAATGTAAGGATGCCCTATCGTTTGATAGAAATGAAAATTATCAACCTACAAGAGGACTGAATTTAAAGACTCCCCGAAAATCAAGTGAAAAAATGATGCAGCAGGCTAGTCCATTTTTCTAAAATTTCATTGCAGCAACTCAAAATGGTACTCAGTAGTTTTTATGACCCCCACGTGCTTTTATGCATGCCTGACAATGTTGGGGCATGCTCCTAATGAGATACCAGATGGTGTGCTGGGGTATTTCCTCCCAGATCTGGACCAGGGCATCACTGAGATCCTGGGCAATCTGAGGTGCAACCTGGCAGCGTTGGGATTGCCCGAAACATGATATCCCAGAGGTGTTCTATTGGATTTAGGTCAGGCGAGCGTGGGGGCCATTCATTAGTATCAATTCCTTCATCCTCCAGGAACTGCCTGCATACTCTAGCCACATGAGGCATTGTCATGCACCAGGAGGAACCCAGGACCCACTGCACCATCGTAGGGTCTGACAATGGGTCCAAGGATTTCATCCCAATACCTAATGGCAGTCAGGGTGCCATTGTCTAGCCTGTAGAGGTCTCTGCATCGCTCCATGGATATGTCTCCCCAGACCATCACTGACCCACCACCAAAATGGTCATGCTGAACGATGTTACAGGCAGCATAATGTTCTCCACGGCTTCTCTAGACTCTTTCACGTCTGTCACGTGCTCAGGGTGAACCTGCTCTCATCTGTGAAAAGCACAGCGCGCCAGTGGCGGACCTGCCAATTCTGGTGTTCAGTGGCAAATGCCAATTGAGCTCTATGGTGCCAGGCAGTGACCACAGGTCCCACTAGAGGATGTCGGACCCTCAGACCATCCTCATGTCTGTTACTGATTGTTTGGTCAGAGACATTCACACCAGTGTCCTGCTGGAGGTAATTTTGTAGGGCTCTGGCAGTGCTCATCCTGTTCCTCCTTGCAGAAAATAGCAGATACCTGTCTTGCTGATGGGTTAAGGACCTGCTGTGGCTCTGTCCAGCGTTTACAAAACTCAAAGTTGTGAATTGAGTAAACTATCCAATATCAGGAATGTCCCTCTACTTTTCCTACGTTTCCAGGTAGGGGGCACGCGTGCGCACCCTACCCGTGCTGCCATTTGCTGCCACGGCTGTCAATCATCGGGTCTCGGCCTGTGATTACTCGCTGACACCCGGTTATTTACGAGCATTTATAATGTACAGCGCTGAGCAAACTGTTGGCGCTATATAAATCCTGTATAATAATAATAATCTCCGATGGGGAGGAGAACTGTTTGTAAACAAAACAGTTGTCCTCCCTGTCAGCTTGTGCACACTGCTTTGGATGGCCATGCAAAGCAGTGTGCTTACAGTGAAGCACACGGACAGAGCACATAGTAAAACAGTTAACATTTGTGAAAAAACATGTTTTCTTCATTTTTTAGGCATGATTACTTTTACATATCGTAACCAGTGCAGTACAGGATTTTTTTTTTTTTTTTTTTTTTTTTACATTTTTCCTTTTTTTTTATGATTTTTTTTTTAACTGACTATGATCAGAGCAATATAATGTTACTATAGCAACATTGTACTACTCTGAGGAAGTGATCAAGCTTTTTTTTTTACACGTTATAATTGCTTATAGCGGTGAATTTCATTGCTATAAGCAAGCATTTTCCTGAATGAAATTGATCCATTAAGTTTGTTTTGTTGTGATTAGCTGTGATTGGCCACAGCCAATCACATGGTACAGATGGGCTGTGATTTTCCCTGTCTGTACCATGTGATCACTGTGACCAATCACAGCTAACAACACAACTATAACAATGAATGGCATGAATCGATACTGGTCACAGTGATCACATGGTAGCAGGGGTCGGTAGGACACAGCCAGTGACAGATCATGCCTGCAGCATCTCCCGTTCTGGAAGGACGTCATATGACATCCATCCGAAACAATGAAAATCCCACCTGGCTTGCAAACTGCTATAGGCCAGGCGGGATGTGGTTAAAACTAAGTGATGTGATTTGCTGATTAAATTGCTAATAATTACTGAAGTGCAGGGTTTTCACTGCTGAAGTTTATTCCCTAAAGATCAACCAGCTAATGTGCATTAAAGAGAAACTATAATGGTATTGGGCCAATTTTAGCTAAGTTTTTAAATTTTTAAACTGTTGTATTAAAAGTTTTTACTATATACATATAATCTTTGTTTTACAAATAAACCTTTTTTACATAACAAATAATTTTCAGAGCATTATGGGTCCGGGAGCTTGTCCTGAGACTATTTGTACGTGATCATTTTTATTTGCGCTCATGGCTCCTTCACATGCAAATAGATTTTTTTTGTTTGTGTGCAATACATTTATTATGAAAACTTGATTTGACTTGATTTACAAATTGATTAGTGTTCCTCAGATTGCAACTGGTGTATTAAAAAAATAAAAAACAAGGCCCAGGTAAAGACTATATATATCATCCAGCTGAATTCAATGAAAGCTGAAAATACGATTTGGAGCTGTTAAAAAAAAAAAAAAAATAAATTTTGTTTTTTTCGAAAGAGGGGGGGGTATTTTTGTGTACAGAATACAATGTTTATTTTGTAGACTTATTTGTATGGATGTTAATACATTCCACTTGAAAAAAAAAAAAAAAGAGCCCAGGGAAGAATAAGTGACCTCAGAGGTTTCTATCGGAGGTAGCCTGAATCCAGACCGTACCATATCAGTGAGGTCCTGGACTAATAATCTCTGAGACTGGTAGGCAGAGACCTCCTGCTTCTTCTCAGGCTGTCACTTTTCAGACAGAAATTATAC